GGGGCCTGTAAAATAAAGTGAAGTTAAACGTAATTTTAGAATAGATACAGTATAATTACATTTCAAGTCGTTGCATGTTGGACTTACATATATGTATCGGTACATACTGTACAAGTACGGCCTTATTGCACGGAATGACGGGCTATGTACACCGTAAAATAAAGCATTACCCAAAACCTTGTTTGACAACCTTAATTTGGACCACAGAAATGTGCAAATTGATAAAGCAATTTGAATACAACATAAAATACGTATAACATATGACTGCCCAGCCCTTGAGTAAATAAATACAGACAGTCCTGTTAAAACCATCCCAGTCTAAAACTGAACAAAGACAAGTTCAAATCTAGAGTGGAATCAAATGAGCCTGAGAGTAACTTCAGACCAAGAACAACAAAAAGGTCATGTGGCCTTAAACTTAAAAAATTTGTGGTTTTTAAAATCTTTTTTTTCTTTCTTTTTTAGGATCTGCAGACTGTCTGCAATGGGTAAGAATACAGAATAAAAAATATAAAAATTGAATGTGGCATTCTCATGCATTCTTTAAAAAATCCTGTCAGACCTGGACTTTAGCACCATGGGGGAGCAATGGTGGTTATACCATTAGTGTCACCATTACAAAATGACTTCAAGTACGTATACAGCATCCTTGTATGTGTGTGTGTGTGTGTGTGTGTGTGTGTGTGTGTGTGTGGCTGATTAAGAATGGAGTTGAGGGAAGGGTTTCTTGAGTAGAACTATAAGCGACAACATCACTTTGCACTTTGCAGGGCTCCATGGTGCACATATAAGCATGTGCACAAATACATACAGTACATACATAGGCAGGTCCTCTCTCTCTGTTCCTTTCTGAAGGGCAAACCTGCCAAAGCAATCACCATGGCAATTGCAGCTCAAATGGATGCCAGTGGTGCTTTGATATAAAGAGGAATAGCACCACACACATGCTAAAACACACACAAACAGGTTGTTGACAATGTTCAGTGAAGGGATGCCAGCTTGGCTGTTCTCCTCCTTTTTAGATCTCAAGGCTCATCAAGGCTCATCAAGGCTTGTGATGCAACATGCAAATTAGAGAAACAACTGAAAGGAGGCCAAGTGGGCTTTAACTGTAATTAAGAGAAAATATGTGAAACAGAGGAGGTTAAAAGAGCAGCGCTGTGGATAAAAGTAGATTATGATGTATTAAAATTAGAGGGATTTTAATGGAGGTGGCTTTGCTGTTGATTCTGATAATGATACGTTATGTAATATATTTTTAACACAGTGCAAGCTAATTCTAACATTGTCTCTCTCCATGTTTCAGCCATGTGATAGACTGGCAACCTATCAAGGGCATACCCTTCCTCTCACCCACTGACAGCTGTGACTGGCTCTGGAATTGGCCTGCCCATGCCTAAAAGCATGTTCATCCTTTTGTGTATTGAAATATCTTCACTGCACCTGTCAGTCTGCTTGTGTGTCTGCATCTGGATCCTCCCTATCTGATACACCTATCATCAATCACCCCATGTTCTGGCAGGAAGAATTTGGACCAACAGCAGCATGGTACACCTGCAGTGTCACGAAAATGGAGACAAAGCAATAATTTTGTATGAAGCTGAAAACATCTCTCTGTCAGGACTGATATATTTAGCAAAAAAAGCTGGCTGCTGATTATTTGATTGTGCTTCCCTGTTGATCATTTATTCATAACCCCTCATTTCCACTGGATGAGGTGGCATTGCATTCCATCTGCAGTGCAATTTTAATCTGTCCTCTGTGTGGCTTCTCCCCCACCAGGTACATCTGTGGACCGGAATGGCTCATTGTGGTGCTGATTTATGTAGGATATTTTTCTTTGTTTTTGAGGTTTGACAGTAAGCAGGCTTCCTGGTTAAATGGTTTCTTTTTTGTCCATTAAATGTGTTTTTGTTCTAATTTCCTGCTTTGTTGTGGTGTAGCCTACAGACACAGACCACATTATGAAACACAGATAAAAGATTTGTGGCTATGTTTCAGTTCTTAACAGTAAATTCATTCTCATAGACTATTCATTTAGTAGCCTATCTTTGGGGAAAGCGGTATCTGATTGGTGGGTCATAAACATCCCAGATGAGGCATCTGTCAAAAATAGACTTGATGTTGATCTTTAATAATAATGCTATACTTTAATTTTAAAAATGAGTACAACATCAGGATGCCAACCAGCTATCAAAAACTCCAGGAAGCCATTGCACCCAGCCAATATGTAATTCCATCTGAAACACAAACACCTGAAATTGTCATTTTAACTTTTGTATTTCTGTATGAATCAGAGTGCAGCGTTTTTTGAGTTTTCATGCTAAACTAAACTAATTTCCTGCTGGCTCCAAAAAACCCAAGTAAGATATAAGTACCTCAAAATTATGCTTAAGTACAAAATGAGACGTACTTGTACTTAGTTGTTTTCCTCTTCTGATAGCTTCATATTTAATTTACAGACATAAGAGTGGAATCAATCCTTATTTGTTATATTTTATGGTGTGGTTTTAACCTTGTGTGATGGTTTTCAATTATGTTGTGCCATTTGTTGTGTAATCTTGTGATGTTTTTTCTGTGTGACATTAACCATGTGCCATTATGGTCATTTTGTGGAGAACTTTGGTACAACTTTTGTTGTGGCATCTCTCCATTGGCTTCCGGTGCGTTTTAGGGTTCGTTTTAAGATTCTTTTATTTGTTTATAAATCCTTAAATGGGCTGGCACCATCTTATCTTGTGGAACTTTTGCGTCCGTATAATCCGACGCGGTGCTTCAGATCAGCTGATCAGCTTCTTCTGGAGGCACCGAGGGCCAGGCATAAAACTAGGGGGGATAGAGCCTTCGCTGTGGTGGGTCCAAACCTGTGGAATGCTTTGCCGCTTTATATTAGGCAGGCCCCCTCGCTGTCTACTTTTAAGTCTTATTTGAAGACCCACTTGTATTCATTGGCGTTTGGCCAGGAATGAGACTCCGTCTGTAGTGTTAGAGTGTTTATTTTATTGTTTATAGTTTTTTATGTGTTGATTTTAGATTTGTATGATATGTTAAGCGCTTTGGTCAGCTGTGCTGTGGTAAAGCACTATATAAATAAAGTTGAGTTGAGTTGAGTTGAGTTGAGTTTTTAAATGTGCTAAATAAATAAATTTTGATTTGATTTGAGTCCTCTCATCTATCTCTCAGCAAGAAAGCATTTCCCAAAATGTCAATCTGTTCTGTTAAATTAGGCTTTCGGCTATATGAAAAGGTTTAGATTATTTTCCATTTCAGAATCAGAATGAGAATGACTTTTATTTGGCCAAGTACATTTAAACAAGGAATTTGCCTCCAGTACAAAGGCTCTCAAAGTGCTTGTTGGTCAGTAAGAGAAATCAGAAAACATGCGAGTTTAAAACAGAAGAGAATATGAAAAGAAAAAGAGAACAATCTATTTACAAACATTCATACACATATACTGTACACATTTTGGCAGCAGAATTATATACATAGTTATATAGTATTTACAGTTTAATGCAGTGGGGGCTGTCGTTCTGTTATGCAGACATGAATTAACTGTTCGTCAGAGTGATGGTAAGGGGGACAAAGCCTATAGTGACCTGTCCAGAGGGAAGGGGTTCACACCGTTTGTGTCCAGGATGTGAGGGGTCTGCAGAAATCTTCTCTGCCCTCCTTTGGACCCGTAAGGCGTAAAGGTCCTCTATGGAGAGCAGGGGGCACCAATTTGTTTTTTTTATCCTTTTTGCCTAACTGTCTCCTGGAGTCTGTTCCTGTCTTGTTTGGTTGCTGAAACAAACCAGACAGTGATAGAAGTGCAGGGACAGACTTGATGATTCTTTTGTAGAAATGTAGCTTCTAGGGCAAGTTGAACGTCCTGAGCTGATGCATGAAGAACATCCTCTGCTGTTCCTTCTTGATGATGGTACTGATGTTCGGAGACAGTGTAGCCTAGGAACTTTAAGGACTCTATTGCTAACACAGTACTGCCGAGTATGGTAAGTCAAGGTAGGGTGGAGGGGCTCCTCCTGAAGTTCATTGTCATCTCTACTTTTGAGCGTGCTCAACTCCAGGCGGTTGCAACTGCACCACAGGGCCAGCTGTATAACTACCCATCTGCACACAGCCTTATCACCATCTTAGATGAGACTGATGTCCGTTGTGTCCTCTGTGGACTTTAGGAAGTTAACAGAGGGGTCCCCTGAGGTGCTGGTGTAGCGGGAGAAGAGCAGTGGGGAGAGCACACAAGGGAGGTGTTCATAGGGGGAGCAGCTGCTGGCTCTGGGTCAGAGGTGAGGTTGATGAGGAGTAGTTCATCCGCTGTATTGGCTAGAGAGCAGAGATTTGCTAAATGCATGGATGGGAGCGGCATTTGGTTTCCCCACTCGTGTAGCTTAACCAGGGCACCCCATGTTTTTCTCTCCAGCGTCTCCTCCAGGTCCCATAAATACTGTAGCTGCTGCGCCTCTGACTACAATGTCCACACAACTTTTTGCATCCATACAAATGGGAGAATAAGTGTTATGAGTGAGTAGTCATATGTTTAAGAGCTCTTCCTTTGGTGAAAACCAGCAAAATAGACAAAAAAAAAAGCAAAAGCACAAGAGAGCACCTGACTGAGGCTGCCATCTGCTGTGCCATCTTGAGATTTGTGTAGAAATTTTGCTAGTCGTTTAACCCAACTATTCAATCATTACCACAGAACTCCAGCTCTATAGAATAATAGTAACTTGTATCCTTCAGTGACCAGTGTTGAGGCACAAGTGGCAGAGAACCCTGGTACATGATGAAGTCCTTGTAACAGTCTTTGTAAAACAACTGCAGGTGTAACACTTGCCTGCACAAAATCAGTCCCAAAGGAAATATCTTACAGTGTACTTTATAGGGAAACATCCCTAACAGATTTGACAGACATTTGATTTTCTATGCAATGACCATATCAACATTGATCAGTTAATCAGTGAAACATCAGCACACTCCCAGCAACGGGCACTCACAATACTCACCCTAGGGCTTTTTCCAAGCGACTGCCCAATGATCCAACCACCTCTCCAAGCGTACAGTAGGCCTGACCCAGAAAGTCCTGCAGAGTCAACAAGAGAACATTTTTGTCATTCAGATAAGACACACAAAAAAAGAAATATAAAATACTCTAGCGTAGGGGGCAGAGAGACACTTGGTAGGATGCCCCATAATGTCTGGGGTGGTATGGTGGGGCGGTTCAGTGTGCAGTGTTGTGTTGTGTTTGGTGTGCCAGAGGTCAGGTTGCTGTTGGTATGTGTGTGTGTGTGTTTGTGTGAATAAAAGAGAAAAAGACAAGGTCCGGTCTTCCAACCCTTCTTACATGTTACATTGGTGACAGAAGTGGGATCTCCAGAGATGATATCGCACCAGGAGGTCGACAAATTTACTAGAGCAGATGACCCAGTAGCCAAGGCGAGATTGCCTGCCACCCCACTCTCAGCAAGAACCTGGCAAAATGAGGCTGCTGATAGAGGCACACCAGACAGGATGGAGGAGCTATACCGCACCACAGCATGGAGCCAGGAACAGACTGGCAAAGAGGGGCAAGGAGTAGAGATTTACCTCATCCAAGTGCAGATAGCAGCATAGTTTAACACCTGGTTGACTGCGGAGACACCCATCCATGTTGCACTGGCATTGGAGAGCAAAGCTCTGCAGATCCGTGCTGACCTCCAGCTCGAGAAACAACAGGACTGGTCCACCATCATCAGGGCACTGCAGCACAGGTTTGGCCAACACGCCCATGCTGACATTGCCCATGACAAACTGGCCATCTGATGGCATGAGAAGTGAGAGAGCTGCTGACATCTGCCTCTAGACTCAACTTGGGTACCTAACCTTTAACAGCCTGACACTGGAAGCGCTGGCTCTCAAGGCCTTCATCCGAGGACTCCACCCAGAGCGACTCAGAGAGCACATCTACATCTACACACCATCTACCTTGATGGCGCCCATTGCCAAAGTGGAGTGGGTTCAACATGTGCCATGTCCCCCCTAATCCAGAGTACCAAGTGCAGCAGGTGGACTTAAAAGAGGAAGCAGCCGGCCATGTTGCTGCTAGGAGAGCAGCTGAGAGACGAAGAGACAGGACGGAGGAGCCATACCGCACCACAGCATGGAGCTGTGTCTATCTCAACTGTCACTTACATACAGCCACCTGACTTTAGTTTGCCAAAAATAGATTTGTTTTTGATCCCAATAAGTGTTGAAATAACATTTTAAAATAATTTTTATTATATTTCCCTCATCTGATGTTGAAGCAGTGCAGTCAAGTCACAAATCTCCTAGCAACTGCGTGAGATCCGTGTGCAACTAATAGCTAAATACAGCATGGGCTAGAAAAAGAGTTTATGTGAAAAAGATAATTGTGTGGGTGTAGCTCCATTCAGTAATGTTCCAGAAATAAAAACTGTTTTATGGATATGACTGAGATCCAACGCAAAGGAAAAGTGTGGCAGAAGTGTAAGCACAGGGATATACAGTAGATATGAAAAAAAAGGTTTACAGGAAAATATACTGCTCAAAAAAATAAAGGGAACACAACATAGTTGAATGTCTTATTTTTGTGTTCCCTTTATTTTTTTTAGCAGTGTATAATGGGAGCTCAGTGCTTCTCATCCCTGAATCTACTGGAGTTGTCACTAGTTTTATGTGGAATTCTTCAGATCACCTGCTACAGTGTACTGGAAAAATCTTTGTTGTTTGTAAGAAATGTTTATCACATGTTTACCTAGAGTGTTATTTTTTGTTTGTTGTCAATAGCTATCAATGACATGTAGGAAATTTGGGAAATATGCTTATTACTTTCTTTTCAAACGTTAGGTTAAAAACACCATTCTCATGACTGTTTAAGACTGGAATGAATGGAAAGCTCATCTATACAGGCGGTACATGCCCGACTATTTCTTGACCAGAAGCAATTGCCTGGCAACTAGTGGACAAGTTTAGTTTGACCCTGGTGTTCTATTCATGTTTAGTTTACACTGGTGGTGTTCGCGGGTGTCCTGCACCTGCATCATCTTTTGGCTTTGTAACTCAACATAATCAAAGAATGGAGGGTTCTTGTTGGACTGGGATGATGGTGGAATGGTTGAAGCAGGAGGGGACTTCACACAGCTCCAGTGACCTGTTGAAGATAAGTGTGAAGATGGGGGTCGGTTGATCAGCACACACTTTCAGGCTGGAGGGGGTCACGCCACCTGGTGCCTTTCTGATCTTTTGTCTTTTACAGAGGCCACACACATCCTTTTCACATATAGCTAGAGGTGGGGGGCTGGAGGAAAGGGTGGTAATTGTCGGGGCTGCTGGGTCTGAGGTGGGGAGGGCAAGGGGGGATTGTCTCTCAAACCTACAGTAAAACACATTCAGATCATCTGCTAGTTGACGGTCCTCCACAGCAGGAGGGGGATGGCTTCCCATAGCCAGTGATGCTTTTCAGGCTACTCCACACATACAGTGATCAGAGAGACCGAGGGCTGCACGGGGGACAGAGCAACAGGACCATGGTGCATGAGCTGCATTCAAGCAAAGAGCAGCTGAAGCACACCTCTTGAGCGCAATGCTGGTCACTGTGTAGAAAGTTGGTATGGAAGTGTTGATAAGGGAGAGGCTGTTGAACTGAATGAGCTAAGGACATTATTGCAAGAAAATACAGGACGCTATGTTGTTATAATGACAAAAGAGCTCATGTCGTTATAACAAGAAAATATACTGTCGTAATATAAATATATTTTAATGTGAAAGTGTCTCATAAAAATGAGCAAAGTATCTTGTTATAATTAGAAAAGTTTCTTGTTAAAACTAAATTTATGATGTAGGCAGTTCTTTGTGCATACTATGAAATATAATGCTGCAGGTGCCACTTGATTGTATGTGAGTCCCCTTGTAGCGCTACTGAACACTGTGAGCATGTACACAGCTGGGAAAAAATCTACTATACTCAGCAACAGCTGGGTGTAAAGCCTGATGGCAGTGTCTGCTCCAGGCTCAAAGCTGGTGACATTTTCATCCATAGGACTGGTATTATACCATTTTCTTATATTTTGACCTTTTTTTAGGTGACAAAGTAACCACAGGGCTCTGTGTTAGGTCCAATTCTCTTCACTCTATACATGCTTCCATTAGGCAATATTATCAGGAAGGACAGCATAAATTTGAATTGCTATGCAGATGATACTCAGTTATATTTATCTATGAAGCCAAATGAATCAGGTCAGCTGGTCAAACTTCAAGCATGTCTTAAAGACATAAAGGCCTGGATGACCTTCAACCAAAAAATTACAGTTTTATATCTTTATGTTTGAAGCCTGAAATGTGGCAAAAGGTCGCAAAGTTCCAGGGGGCCGAATACTTTCGCAAGGCACTGTAGCTCTTGCCTCCAGTACTACTGTGAGGAACCTTGGAGTCATCTTTGATCAGAATATGTCCTTTAAATCACACATAAACCAAGTCTCTAGATCTGCCTTCTTTCACCTGCGCAATATTGCAAAAATCAGGAGCATCCTGTCTCAAAGTGATGCTGAAAAACTGGTCCATGCATTTGTTACTTCCAGGCTGGACTACTGTAACTCTTTAGTATCAGGATGTCCCAATAATTCCCTAAAAAGCCTCCAGTTAATCCAAAACGCTGCAGCCAGAGTACTGACAGGAACTAGCAAGAGAGATCATATCTCTCCCATATTAGCTTCTCTCCAATTGCTCCCTGTAAAATTCAGAATAGAATTTAAAATCCTTCTCCTAACATACAAAGCCCTTAATGACAAGGCTCCATTCGGCTCAGTTCGGGAGGCGGACACCCTCTCTACCTTTAAGATTAGACTTAAGACGTTCCTTTTTGATAAAGCTTATAGTTAGGGTGGATCAGGTGACCCTGAGCCTTCCCTTAGTTATGCTGCTATAGGCCTAGGCTGCTGG